TGAGCTGAGTTTATTTGCATGTTATTACTTTCCTCTAGGTACATACATACAGCTTATGCGACTCCAGCAGTCCTCTTTAGATTCTTAGCAGCTGGTGTGAGTGTGAACTAAATTGAACGCTCACAGAGGTTTTATTCTGTGCCAGGCGCCGTTCTCATTGCTGTACACATAAGAACTTGGCTCATCTTCACCACAACACGATGAGGTAGGTACTATTGTTACTCTTTCGTTTTACAAATGACTGAACCCCGGCCCACAGTTCTTAAGCAAGAAATTGTATTACCCCCCCAGTGGGGTTCATGTAATTGACAAAAAGGTTCAGTACAAAATATGGCTATGCCTACGCCATTTAAATTTTCCTTTAGAGCTACGTCAAAGTCATGTTTGAAGCTAGCCTTTCGACATGCTTTATCCTTGAGTCCGCCGCATCTGAAAAACAGAGTCCCCTTCTGTGGAGGAGAATTTGGGAAGCTGTCTGACCTGTCCTCCCCTCTTCTGCTTCAGTTCCTTTGCTCGCTGAATCATGGAATCTGGGTTGGCAGGGACCTGGGGGTACTTCTAGTCCCAGCATTCCACAGCTAAGGACAAAGCTTCAGCTCCTCTCTCGCATTTGAAGCATGGTGTCAGCTGGGTTCTACCATCCCCAAAGGGGTAGAAAGGATATCCTACGCTTTCAATGGTCTTTCCCAGCTGGTGAGTCTGCGCAGGGGTGGGATGCCGCGGGGAGACCCTTTCATCCTCCTCTGTGGGCTCCCACTGTGCTGCAGACTGAGTGTGGCAGGAGAGCTGTTAGAAGACCATGCCAGAAACGGAGATGAAGAGATGAAAGGCAAACAGTTAGCAGCTGTCCTGTGTCCTTTTCCAATCACAAGCTGTGAATGAATAATAATAATTAAAGAAACCCTCCCAGGCTGGACATAATCTTGGCAGGTATTGAAGTTTTGGTCTTCTAGCTCATATCTGAACATTTCCCGGGGCTTCGCAAGAGAAAAGTGAGCAGTGATTTGGGTCGTCTGGACACCCTGCTCATCACAAAAGAGGAAGATGGCACCTGTGTATCGACATATGGCTCCTGTTCCAAATGGGCTCTCACTGGTGATCAAGAGCTTCAAAAATGAGTAGTCCTCTGTGGAGAAGTAAGGATAATTCACTTCTATGTACTGCCACCTCTGCTCTCTGGTGACACAGATGCTACTAACCCCCAAAGGATGGTTGTCTTCTAAACCCACCTAGTGGCTCTGTAGGAGAACTGTTGCTTCTGTACTGATAAATGCTCCCTGCCACCCCCACCCACTAAATGATCCCAATTCTACCTTGCAAGTCTGGCTAGAGGGTGTACACCGGTACAGATAGGAACTGGAAACACAGGGAATCCAGGGCGGATGATCCCTTCAAGACCATTGGTCTCTTCAGGACCCTTCCGGTGTGAGTAGTGATACTGGGAGGGTAGAGGGAGGGGAAACCGATTACAAGGAGCTACATGTGACCTCCTCCCTGGGGGATGGACAATAGAAAAGTGGGTGAAGGGAGACGTCGGACAGGGCAAGATATGACAAAATAATAATTTATAAATTATCAAGGGTTCATGAGTGAGGGGGGAGCGGGGAGGGAGTCCAGGAGTTGATGCCAAGGGCTTAAATGGAGAGCAAATATTTTGAGAATGATGAGGGCAATGAATGTACAAATGTGCCTTACACATTTGATGTATGGATGGATTGTGATAAGAGTTGTATGAGCCCCTAATAAGACGATTAAAAAAATCAGTCATAGATTAAAAAAAATTACAACCTTTAGGGCAGTTCTATTCTGTCACACATGGTCATTATTAGTTAGAAATTACTTGATGGCACGTAATGACCACAGCAACATAGATCACACAAGGACACACAACAAAACAGGAAAGAGTGCCTACAAAGCTTGCTACTACGCACCAATCATTGGGCATTCACTAAATGCTCTGTATCCTGCCTACTTTATGAAACATGCAATAAAAGATCACTGGTCGATCTTCATTCTATAGAAGAGGAACGGTGTCTCAGTTGTGAAACAATTTAGCCAAGGTCGCATGGTCTATGATTGGTCTGGAATGAATGTTTTCTTCTAGTAGACTCTACTGCTCATGCTTTCTTCACTACAGAAAGAGCGTCAAATGTTTAGTTGGGGCATTTTTTTGGATGGAGATTAAGTAACTCCCGTGACTCTACTTTTATGCCTGCAGCATAATAAATATACTTGTATTTATTTATAAGACAATTGAGAGTGAACAGCATAGGTTATCCAGCCTATTTGATTTCACATAAGTGATTTACCTTCTGGAAGTTCAAATGGTTACTACTGTTTCCAAGCTACCTTAAGGTCATCAAGAACTAAGAGTGCTAAAATACCAAGTAATTTGCCACGTTTTGACCCACAAGTATCCACAACTCACTCTCAAAGCATTTTTTAAAATAAATCTTTTATTGGGGTCGCTGACAGCTCTTAAAACAATCCATATATCAATTTTATCAAGCATATTTGTACATATGTTGCCATCATCCTTTTCAAAACATTTTCTTTCTACTTGAGCCTTAATATCAGCTCCTCTTTTGTTCTTCCACCCCTCACTCTCCCCTCTTTGTGAACCCTTGATAAATTATAGATTATTTTCTTATCTTACACTCTCATGAAACCTTTAACTTATTTTTAAGGTTAGCATTTAGCAACTACCCAAATGACAATGGATTTTATGCACTGATTATTTTACTCTTTTCTTTCCACAATTCTGATGCATACCAACGCTCTAGGCCAGAGTAAAATGGCCTTATGGGTTTCCAGGACTGAAACCCTTCACAGTAGAAAGTGTCATCTTCTTCCTGAGGAGTGGTTTATGGTTTCGAACTATTGACCTTGATGTTAGAAGTATAACCACTCTACCACCAGGGGCCTGACAACTATGTTGGGAGATGGGCAATACCAGAGTGGTGTGGGGTTGGCAGTGTTGGGAGTCTCAGCTCCATTTCAGAGGAGGCTTTGTCAAACTACCTGACTGGCCAACTGAAAAAACGACCCCCTCAAGGTGAAGGCCATGTTTGGGTAACTTTGCTTAGGACTTTTTCCAAAGCCAGGATTTGGGAGCATGTCTGCGACAAATTAAGATGGGAAGTTGTCTGAGAGAAGATTATTTGTGGCCCTAACTAAATATGTTCTGAATCTAGACAAATGGGAAGTTTCACTCTCCTGAGAAAGCTTCTGAGGCTGAAGGAGCCTGTGATATTAAAGGAGAATAATTTAGTCTGTTTGGAATGGCCGAGCAGCATAAAGGCAACTCATTAAGAATCAAGAAGGTAGTTACCCTCAAAGAACTGACATCTCTAGCTTTAGGGACGCTGGGTCTCCCGGCACTGAGATCTATGTCCAGATGCAGCCACATACATGTTAAAGGCAGAAGGGAGGGAGCACAGCACGGAAACAGAGACAGAAAGTGTTTCTTCTCAAGAGGGAAGGTGCCAGTGAGGGAGTAGCACTGTCAGATAAAGTTTAGAAATTTAAATGTAACTCGTGGTCCTATATTTTTCTTTGCCACATCAGACAACCTTAGACAGGAGGTGAGTAAAAGCTGGAAATAAGTTGACGGAATTCAGTGCAGAGTCAGTGCTATTACTGAACTCCCAGAAGGTGGGGATTGCCAATCATTCATTTAGTCATATTTATTTATTTATTCAGCTAATATCTATGAGTCCATTTTTTTAACATTTACTATGTGCCAGGTGCTGGATTAGGTCTTGGGACAGACCAATAGGGCAGATAAAGTACCTGTACCTTTAGAGTTGTTAAAAGAACAAATAGATCTGTCCAGTCAGAATGCTCCTGAGAGGCAAGGATGGGGACACTCTGTCTCACGCACTTTGGACATGTTGTCAGGGGAGACCAGTCCCCGGAGAAGGACATCATGCTTGGTCAAGCACAAAGAAGAGGCCCTTGATGAAACGGCTAACAGGGGACTCAAACATGAGAACATTTGGGAAGACGCTCAGGACTAGACGGCGGTTCATTTGCTGTTGCACACACGGCCACTAAGAGTCAGAACTGACTGAACAACATCTAACAACCACAACGACTTTTAGAATTTACTGTAGAGTAGAAAAAACAGAAAAATAAGCAAATTATTATTTTATTGTCATATTACTTTTATAGATATTATCATTGAGGTTTCTGAGTGTCAACGATATGCTTGGTATGATGAGCTCCTAGCTGCAAAGTTCAAACTCACCTTGGAGAAAGAAGGCTTTCTAACCTCCTAAAAATGTAGTCTTGGAAAGCATCCTAGTAAGATTAGACTTTTGTGACTGAGGGGAGACAGCACTCCCAGACCAGGAGAAGGACTTGGATTTTATTCCAGGTGCATTGGGAAACAGTGAAGGGAAGGGACTGATTTAAATATGCTCTGACAGTGGTGTAGAGAATGGGCGGAGGCAATATGGAAGCTGAATTCAACAACCAAAATGGAAGAAATAGAATAGACACATCCACATCTGAGAAACACGGGATACAATTTGAACATGTGGAGAATCATGAGAACTGGTCTCACTGGGGAGTCCAGTTTAAAAACCAAATGTAATCTTTCATCTGAATCAAAGCAAAACGCCAGATGGAAAAGGAAGAAAGGTCAGTATGATCTTTGATACAGGGCCTAAATTGACCCAGTTATGGACATTGATCTCACGGTTGGATTGACTCCGTGGCAGTGGGTTTTGTAATGACCATGCTGTAATCTATGGCCCAGTACATTTATTCGAGTTCATGGCGGACATTGCTGGTGGGCTTATTTCCCTCTCCCTACGGCCTTCTGTGCAGGTTGTACAAGTGAATGTGTTCCGAGAGTCTTTGAAAAAGAGTTCTGGCCAATGAAACACTGGGAAGCATTTGGAAAAAGTTTGCTTTCTTGAATACGGAAGGAACATACAACTGCATCTCCTGTGTCAAGAAGAAAACGCGCTTTCTCTCGCGTCCTTGCTTCCAAGATGACAAAGAAAAGGTGTAACAACGGTCGTGCTAAGAAAGGCCACGGCCACATGCAGCCCATTCGCTGCACGAACTGTGTCCACTGCGTGCCCAAAGCCAAGGCCATTAAGAAGTTCGCCATAAGAAACATAGTGGAGGCCGCGGCCGTCCGAGACATTTCCGAAGCGAGTGTCTTCGACGCATACGTGCTTCCCAAGCTGTACGCGAAGCTGCAGGACAGTGCGCGTGGAGCCATTCACAGCAAGGTGGTTAGGAACCGGTCATGTGACGCCCGGAAGGCCCAGACACCCCCCACCCCCACCTTGATTTAGACCCGCAGGTGCTGCCCCACGACCTCCTCCAAAGTCTATGTAAAGATTAGAAGCTGAAGGAAAACAAACCTGAAAGGAAATAAAATGGAAATTATTCTTAAAAAAAAAAAAAAAGGAAATGCAGCAGGGTTTCCCCAGGCTAAGTAGCACCACCTGCTCATAATATGGAGACAGAGATGGACACACGGTCAATTGGGCCACCAATAACAGCTATCCCCGTTGGATTATCTGAAAGCAGGTGATCAAGGAGATGGGAGCATTAACCCTTGGATAACAAAGGTTGTTAAAGCTCTTCTATCTTTCACATCCAATTGCGCTGACCAGTGGGTTGTTGTTGTTTTTTAATCTCAGTAAAATATTGCTGGGACATGGACTGGATCATGTGATGGGGGCCATAATGTAGGCAAAATCCTTAACATTTACCCTGGATAGACTACGAATGCAATGACCATAAAGAAAAGCAGAGAAGGGATATTAGGAAGAAATTAAAGTTATCAGGATCAAATTGAGAGACTGGGAAGTGCCTTTAGGGTTACCTAAAGGTTACCTCCTCTCATTTTTACTTCAAATTATAAAATCTCCTTAAAAAGATTACTTGGGGGAGGTAGTTCCCTATGAATTTTGGTTTCTGTTCACATTCACTGGATGTGAAATTACCCATTTCCATGATCTTGACAGATTTTAAATCTAGGAATGGTTTTGAGCTTCTAATGGAGGACGAGGCAGCCAGTGCATTGTATAAAGTCGTCATAGCGCGATGGGAAGCTCAGTTTTACATATGGCTAGCTAGCGTTTACAGGAAAGTTTCGCTCCTGAAATCTGAGCACATGATGGTCTTCAGAGCAGAAACAATGAGCGCATTTGGGAGATGTCACATGGATTGCTCCGAGTGGCTTTTCTCGAAACTCTTGAGGTGTCACAGTTTGTGTTCGCGTTCTTTCTAAGCCAGATGCCTTTGGTGGGTGGGAAGGGGTGATTCTGTAATCGAAATAGTTGACCTATGGACTCTTCCTGACTTTCTTCCAGGCTTCTTTTTGGTTTTGTGATTTTTTTCCCCCAAGCATCTCCAGGGAGAAAAACACTGTTATTTTTTTTTAACCTATGGAAACTTTATTTTGGAAATGTTGTGGTGGGACAACTCCACTTCTATCACTACACTAGAATTAAGTAGATAAGCAAGAGGTTAACCCAACCAAGCAGTTAAACTGAAAGCTGATCAAAATCACAACTGAGAAAAGCCAGTCAGGCTATTTGAAACTATGTCCTAGCATTTGGTGCTGGTTTGGTTACAAGGGACACTTGCATAAGGCACGCAGATCTCCCTGCCCTGTGTATAGTGTGTATGTATCCCATGAAGGATTTTGTTTTCCTTTGCTGCTTTAAGTTGGCTCTGAACTCGTGGTGCTCAGTTCTGTACCATTCCCATGATTAGACGGGGACCTAGACATTGTGCTGGGTACAGTGCTCATTGGCTGATTTTCAGTAGTAGGGTGCTTTCTAGTCCTTCTCAGTCTAGATGCTGTACTGAAGCCTGGTCTATACCCTAGCACCAGGGCACTGACGGGTGGATGGTGGCCATCCATGAAGTGGACTGGGTGGAAGTTGAACCCACAGGCAATACCACATCCCAACCAAAAATGCACTCCTGTTGAGTTGATGCCAATTCATAGCGACCCTATAGGACAGGGTCGAACTGTCCCTTTGAGTTTCCAAGACTGAAACTCCTTATGAAAGTAGAAAGCCCCATATTTCTCCCACAGAGCAGCTGGTGGTTTCAAACTGCTGACCTTGCAGTTAGTAGCCCAATGAGTAACCACTACGAGTAATCACTAGGAGAGAATTCTACCACCAAACAACTCATCACTAAATACTACTACTCAACTTGACATAGATATAAAAGGGAGGAGCCTTGTCTCATGGTGAAAGTTTATTAATGTTCTTTTGTCTGGTGCTCTTGGATTTACTTCTGAAATACTCAATGGGTGTCCAAACGACCGAAGAGTCCTTTGCATTTACTTAAATTGAGTATTGTTAAAAATGGGGGAATCCTGTCTAAATTAAAAGATAGCATATTTTGTGTTATTTATATTCAAGGGCACTTCAAAAAGCTTGTGGAAAATTTACATTACCTTTGAAGTCCATTTTCCATGAACTTTTTGTAGCACCTTGGTATATCTTGTCTCCTAATTTCTTGAGATGCCAAATTTCTTGAGAGAAAAGATTACATCTTCAGTATTGTGTGTCTGATTTAGTACTTATCAAAGTTCTTTCACTTTGCTGTTCACTAAATTATATTGAAGAAAAATGTGGCACCTTACTTAATTACCATCTACTTAAGTTAATAGTGAGAGGAGTGTAGTTTCCCCCCCACAATTTTAAAAATAAAGGTACACCAGGGAAGAATGTTTTCATCCTGGAGATGTTTGTCACAAAACCAAAAATAAGTGTAGGGAAACATTAGGAATATACCATCAGTCAGCTGTTTCCATTGAAGCAGCATGGTATCTGCATACCTTATACAAGTGTATGAAGAAGAGTGTGGCATCAGGATTGGAGGAAGGCTGATATGCAGATGACACAGCCTTGCTTTCTGAAAGCGAGGAGGACTGGCAGCACTTGCTGTTGAAGGTCAAGGACAGTAGCCTTCAGGATGGATTACAGCTCAATGCAAGAAGACCCAAATCTTCCCAACTGGAACAATAGGTAACATCACGATCAATGGAGTAAAGATTGAAGTTGCCAAGGATTTTGTCTTGTGTGTTTCCACCATCATGGAAGCAGCAGTCGAGAATTAAAAAGAAATATGTATTGCATTAGGTAAATCTGCTGCACAAGGTCTCTTTAGAGTACTGAAGAACAGGGAGGTTACTTTGAGGACTCAGGTGCACCTGACTGAAGCCATGGTATTCTCTGTTGCCTCGTGTACATATGAAAGTTGGACATTGAATACGGAAGCCTGAAGAAGAATCAATGCATTTGAATTGTGGAGGTGGAGAACATGGAAAGTACCAGGGACTGCTAAAGGGACAAATCGATCCACATTGGAAAAAGTATGGGCAGAGTGCTTCTTAGAAGCAAAGATGAAAAGACTTCATCTTACATACTTTGGACATATTGTTAAGTGAGACTAGTCCCTGGAGAAGGACATCATGTTTGGTAAAGTGGACGGGCATCGAAACAGAGGAAGGCCCTCAGGAGCTGAATTGGCACAGTGGCTGCATCAATCGACTCAGGCAGAGGGACAATTGTGAGGAGGCCACAGGACCGGGCAGGGTTTCATTCTGTGGCGCATCGGGCCACTACAGGTCGGCGCAGCTTTGATGGCACCTGAAACAAGGATTGAAGAAAGTAAAAGCTTGAGAGAATAAATGCATAAGCCAAAACTGATGCACAGATTTATAACACATAATCTAAAGATCACAAAGTCAAGAAATTTATAGAAAAGGCTTGAAAATTAAGAGTTGAAAAATTCTAATAGCCAAGAAGCCTGGTGTGTTTATTCCCCCGCTTCCCAACGGAAGAAGAGAAGATAAAGATGGAATTGCTAGTACACGGTAACACCAAAATGTTCTTAATTTTTTTCCAGTTTTGCAAATTCTCATGATTTGATTTTCATCCAGGACTGTCAGTTAAGACATCTGATAATCTAAAAGCATTCAGAGAATTAGAATCCCATATGGCTCAAAAATATTTCCTATCCGGCAGGGGAAAAAGAGAACATACTGTGAAAATAATACCAGTAGATCCTTTAATTTAGGGGTCCAAGGAGCACAAATGAACTTAAGTCATTGCACACGGTTTAAGGATCATCAAGATCAATTACCCAAAAATAAAAAATAAAAAGAACATACAGTTCTTCATAATCATGCCGCATTATGAAAAAAGCAAAAGGAAGTATATTTCAAGGCAAAGATAGTGATGAGTTGTGAAGTTTTGTCTTAGAGCAGAAAGCAACATTCAGGGGAAATAAGCACTGAAAGAGGAGTCCTGCTTTGCACTAATTAAATGTGGAAACTTGGAAAAGTCATTTAACTCTCCTGGATCTTAATTTTCTCTCCTGAAAAATGAGAACGCTGGACCAGATGCTCCCTTCTAACACAGCATCTGATCTAGAGGTTCCAGCAGGGAGAACATTCACTCAGTTGCTCTTGTTATCTGAAGAACAGTTAATTCTCCTTGTTTGGGGAGACGTGATTTCCATTGAATGTCTTCAGTATGGAAAGATACGTTTACAAAATGGTGAGAGAGGAAGGGTCTTGGTGCCAGTCACTCCATTGCACCATCTGAATTGATGGTGATGATGATTATTATTCATTAAGTGCTAGTGATGCATCATATACTGTGCTTCCCTTCTCAGAACCTGACGAAATAGATATTAGCATTATGATCCCCAATTTACATATGAGAAAACTCAAGCTTAGTGTTCATGAGTAATTTCACTGGGCTCACACAGTAAGTGACTGAGCCATTGGTTTCCTATCGAGCAATCAGTGTGGCCCTCAGAAAGTGTCTTCCACATGGAATTGCTTCATTACACTGATGGATGTAACCTCCTTCATCCTTGCCCAGTTGTGTCCATGAGTCCTCTTTCCCAGAATCCCTACTAAGGGACTGAAGATTATTCCAAGATGATGCAGTTTAGGACTCTTTTATTTAGTAGCAGGGTGACTCTGGGCAAGGAAGCCTCTATTTCTTCATCTGTATAATGGGAATAACAATAACACCTACTTTAGAGGATGTGATGGCAATATTTAAGACGGTGCTTTAATCATGAGGTGTCAATGGGATTAGGCATCAAAGACCCAGAACAAAAAATCATATCGATGTGCATGAGAGGGAGGGCAGAGTGGGGACCCAAAGCCCATCTGTAGACAATTGGACATCCCCTTACAGAAGGGTCGCAAGGAAGAGACAAGCCAGTCAGGGTGCTGTAGAGCACCCATGAAACATACAACTTTCCTCCTCTAGTTTTTTAATGCTTCCCCCCTCCCCACCCTATC